ACTGTCATAGCTCCTACCATAATTACCACTGCACCCACGAGCCATGAACTAGATCAACCTGTCAAACGAAAGACTAAATTCAAACTCTTCCCCGATTCTAAAACACCCTCTGTAGAGGAATTGCCTACGCAGCGCGCACCAAAACATAGTCAGAACGAAAAGCTTGGGCATGCTGCACAGGGATCAACAGCGTCGCAGGCGGCGGATCCTATCCTATCGGCCTCTCAGAGTAACAGCGAAGAGCCCGGGCGTTTATCAACTACGTCGATCCGAAGCAATCGTGACCAGACCCATGATTCTCAACGCTCCTCGGTGACAGATGCGCGGTTTTCGGAATCCTCTCGTTCCGATCGGAGTGCTGGAGATAGCAATCCTCGTTCGGCCTCCCCTCGTGAGGGGGTGTCTGGCAACAAGCGATTTCGTATGCCGCGCTTAAAACGGCACCGCAGTCCTCTTTTTCCTTTACCACCAAAACCAACGGGCAACGACTCCGGCAACGGCCACGCACAAAGCTCGGCCATATCAAAGTCTGCTGCTGGCGATTCCGCCCCGAAGTCCGACCTGTCGGAAGATCCAAACGAAGACCATGTCTCTCCGCTGCCATCTCCCACACGGTCGTCGGTGGGCCTGGCTTCGTCGCGACCGCCCTTGCTGAGAAATGACTCTGCAGCCTCGGCTCATTCTGCCCGTTCAACACCGTCGAACAAGAGTCGGGCAATGCCTACATCACGTACGAGATCGTCTACTTTGGATTCGTTGGCTAATGCACGGGATAACGGGCAGTCATCGCCACATCTCATCTCAGGGCGGACATCAACCTCCACTAGTGGGCGAAAGAGTTTTGGGGATATTTTTAACATCCCCCACCGATTTAGACAGAATTCCGATTCCCCGGTTGCCCGGTCCGGATCCCCAGGCACCAAAGGCCCGGGAACCCCAGGTTCGAAGCTGAGCTTGATCACATATCCCGAACGACAAGAGGGTGACACTCCGGCGACATATCTAACTCGACTAGAAGAGAGCATTCCAAGGGGCGCGATTGCTGGCGTCCTAGCTCAATCAAACGATGATTTCTTTAAGACTGCCCTGCGAAAGTATATGAGAGGGTTCTCGTTCTTCGGTGATCCCATTGATATGGCTATCCGGAAACTCTTAATGGAGGTGGAGCTGCCAAAGGAGACGCAACAGATTGACCGCTTCCTCCAAAGTTTTGCCGATAGATATCATGAATGTAATCCGGGTATTTTCGCCTCCACAGGTACGTTGATCACCATCAGTGTGGCATTGTGCAAAGCTTCGAAACTGACGCTCTACTTTTCATCTAGATCAAGCCTATTTCATCGCCTTCTCGATCTTAATTCTACATACAGATGTCTTTAACAAGAATAACAAGAGGAAAATGCAAAAGCCAGACTATGTCAAAAATACTCGTGGCGAAGGCATATCGGAGGACATCCTGGAGTGTTTCTATGAGAACATCTCGTACACCCCTTTCATCCATATCGAGGACACAATGTCCAATGGCCGACAGTTTGCACGGCCACGACGAACTCTGTTGAAGGCCACTAGCACAGATCACTTGGTTCGAGCCACCAGAGAACCAGTGGACCCCTATACGTTGATATTGGACGGGAAACTGGATTCTCTGCGCCCAAGCCTTAGGGACGTTATGAACTTGGACGATACCTATTGTTGTGATGGAACTGATGGACCAGCAAATATCGATGGTCTCCACCACGCATTTTCTAAGTCTGGTGTTTTGCAAATTGTGTCTCTACGATCTAGGCCGGACATGTATATGCCATCGAGTATCGACAATCCGGCCGACTCTAATCCCGGGCTGGTCGATATCAAAATCGCTAAAGTTGGATTGCTTTGGCGAAAGGATCCGAAAAAGAAGAGAGCTAGATCTCCATGGCAAGAATGGGGTGCTCTGCTCACATTCTCGCAACTCTACTTTTTCAAGGATGTGGCTTGGGTTAAATCTTTGATGGCTCAGCACGAAAGCCATCAAAAGGAGGGCCGTCGTCGGGCGGTAGTTTTCAAACCTCCTCTTACCGAATTCAAACCGGACGGTATCATGTCAACCGAGGACGCAGTGGCTTTGCTGGATTTAAGCTACAAAAAGCACAAGCATGCCTTTGTCTTCGTCCGCCATGGCGCTCTAGAGGAGGTATTCCTGGCAAATACCGAAGCTGACATGAACGATTGGGTAGCGAAACTGAATTATGCTGCGACGTTTCGGACCACCGGAGTCAGAACGAAGGGAATGATCGCCACGAATTATGAAGCACAACGGAATCGGATGAGCCGTCGGGGTTCGACTCAATCCAGCAGTTCACATCTCTCTATAGACAAAGAACCGCCGTCTCCAAACCCTGATACCGATGTGGCGGAGGAGTTGGTCACTGCTCGTAGGCAGCTTATACGCCAAAAGATTCGAGAGGCCAATGAAAAACTATTTGTTGGACAACGACAGCTTGATGATCTCTTGCGAAATGCAAGGCACTTGCAAATTTTGACGCCTGTACATTCCAGGGCTAGAGAGCATGTCATCATTGCTGCAGGGCGCATGGCTGCAAAACTCAAATGGGTTAGACAGGATATTTGGCGCACTAAGTGCTATAGAGAGGTTCTTGTTCGAGACATAGGCGAAGCGTTGGACGAAGAGAAGCCTCTCGCAGAGCAGAAATTACACTTGCAAATACCAACCACCACCGTTACATCCGAGCCAGAGAACCTGGATGGAGCAGGGTCTGACCGAGTGATGTCTCCGACAGAGGATAACCCATCCCCACTTGCGGAGTCTAGCGGTCCTCACTCGGTCTACAAAACTCCGCCATCACAACCCGCTTCTCCCGACGGCCGGAGACCAAGTATACCAGCCTCCTTTGCTTCCCTCGAAGTAGCTTCCCGGGTTGGTAGACAAATGTCCATGGACAATACCGGGGAACGCGCGAAGTCTTGCTCGCCCCATCCGGCGAGTAGCGTACGGCGCGAAGCATCGGTGCTGAGCGCCGCTAGTAAGGTAGATGTTTCGAGCCTGGGGTCTCGAGCCTCTAAGATAACTGCCCCCGGTAGTATGGATGAAAACGAAGAGCGGCTGCTGCGTGAAACAGGGCTGCTTGAAGTCGGCAGTTCGCCTCAAGCACGGAAGCATTCTTCGGCTACAAATGATAGCGAGGCCGACCAGAAACCAGAAGATGCGCAAGGCGTATTTCAGGGGGAGAGAACAAGCCGTATCCGTCGCAGTCTTCATCGTACCCTTCGGGATTCCCCCAGCGGCCATCATCTTCATTATCCTCGAAAGAAAAAGTCTCGAGATTCCGGATTCAGTATGGCGACGCCAGATGATAACCAAAAACCACAGCAAGGCGAAGGTCTATCACGGAAGTCGACCAACTTCACTGTGCATGGCAAGAAGGCATCAATTGTGACTTTTGGTTCCGAGTGGCAGAACATGCCGCCAGAAGAGCGCCTCAAACTACGAAAGCCAACTCCATCAGACGAGCCAAGAGCATCAAATCCAGAACTTGCCAGTAGTGCAGGATCTGTCGCTTCAGAGTCCTTATACCCTGGCAGCCCACACCCTTTGCGAAGTGGGAGTATAGCGACCAAAGGGAGTGCACGAGATGATCCCTGGAATTCCGCTGAAGCAGCCGGGGCTCTATATCGCGAAGACAAGGCCAAGAGCGATGCTGCCATCGGCCTAGTTCCGGAACTCTCGGAGCCTGATGTGTTGGTGCCACCCATCTTAACTTGGGATGAGCCGAGCGCGGTGTCTAATGAAGGTGTATCGCCGCATTCGACTAGAGGCGACAATGATAGCCTTATAGAGAACAACACTCCACAGGGGATGTCGCCTAGTCCACCGGAGCAGGCTGTAAACGCTTGATTTTTGCAATTATGCAAGGCCTTTTTTTCTTTTACTTTCATGACATTATACCCATTTTACTTTTCCTTTTCTTTCCATCTGCTTCTGGTCTCTTCATTAAAAACGACATATTTGGAAAAGCTTTATGAACCGTCTCTTATCGCGTCAGCTCTCTTGATATGCTTTCTCGGCTTTGGTTAGAGGGCTCATCAAATGTCTGTCATGGAGCGCCTACTCTCCCGTCCACCTTTCTTCTCTCATCACACTTCACTCTTTTTCCTTTCCTTCTGTTTCAAGTCCACCTTTAAACTAGCGGAGAATCAGCTCCGCATTGACATGACCTACCTCGTTTTTTCTTCTACTTTCTTTTCCACTTGATTAGTTGGCTTCTTATAAGCCCGAGGCGCATTTGCTTAGGATGGGCGGCAGTCGTTCTCTTTTCCATTTCTTTTTCTTACTGAGATACCATGTATCATGTGGATGTTTGGCGTGATATGAGCATTGGAAGAGCAGGCCTTAGCCGGCATCGGCAATAATAACATGTAAAAACATTGAAGAGACCATTAAAATAGAGATTTAATAGCATGTTGACTTCTGAATTTCTTGGCTATTTGCCTAGACACTCTTCACACACGACATCATAGTCAATAGCGCCGAGAACACAACACGTTCTTCCTAGTAGCCCTGAGAGTTCCATGCCTTCCAACACACTGCCTCCTCACACTGTCATATCTTTGTGTGTTACCTGGTGAGACTTCCACAGCGTAGAATATCCCCTTAGGTCCCTGCCCACACTGACAATAAAGACACATACAGAAGGAAGAGCTGTTCTCGTTCTCCCTCCCCTAAGCTATTTTGTTTCCTTCTTTCCTTCAACCTAAACCCACAAAGAGCTGAAATAACAAGGTAAACAAGGTTCTGTCTTGTTTGATTCAATACCAGTCACTGTTGTTCGCCACCACTGGAGAAGACCAGCTTCTTTGTCCACATTCGGCTTTCCTCACTGCAACCACATTGTTGACACAGATAAAGTGATTCTGCAAATATTAGTCTGTTCATCTCTTTGTCCCAACAAACATCCACTGCATGGCACACTCCTCACAGAGAACATAACTAGTCAGGCGCCATGGACCAAAAGTACGTAGGTCGCGAACCATCACGTGAGTGCCAGCCGTCACGCAGTGAATGTTTGCAAAGCAGACCAGAAACACAGGGGCAAGAAGAAATCACGCTAGACGAGAAGACAGACATATGCGACGTCCGTCGTGAGGTGATCCGTCTCTCAGACCTGACACAGCACTTCCATCGTGCGTTTTCAACAGTCACTTCCGCGACACCATTCATCTCCATGGCTGAGGTGGCGGGCGTTTTCAGCTCCAACAACCCCGGAGTCAAGAAGTACACGTACGAGGAGTCGCTGGTGCGTCGGTTCATTAGTTACGGCGTTGGCGTCGGCCTTGTCACCACCGAATCTATCCCTGCTGGCAGCGTGGTGTTTGCGGAAGATGTGGCTTGGGCCACGGAGGAGGAGTCTTCAGAGTGCCAGACGCAAAGGGAGGCGAATGCTATGCTTGGGGCGAAGGTGAGGGCCATGGGGGGTGAGTGGCTGAGGAAGTTCCTTGCTCTACCGAGCTCGCTAAAGCAGGATTTGGGGGTGTTTGCGGGGATTTGGGATTTGTATCAGTTGCCGATTGTCATGAATGGGGTGAAGACTGGGATTGTGGGGTTGAATCTCGCGTCGGTTAATCATGCTTGTGTGCCGAATTGCGCGTTGACGATCATCAATAAGTACCCGAAGGATGAGGATGGAAATACTAATATGAGTCAGAGTCCGATGATTGGGAGGGCTGTTGTGCGCGCTCTCAAGAATATCCAGAAGGATGAGGAGATCACTGTCGCGTACTTCTATGGAAAGGGACAACAGAAGGCGCGGGAGTTGTTCTCGTGGACTGAGTTCGGCTTCTTCTGCTCGTGCAAAGATTGTGTGCAACCCAAGGATGTGATCGAGATTGCCATGGATAAGTATTGGAAGGTTGAGCGCATCTTGAACCACCCCGACACTGTCAACTTGTATCCTGCGATGGCTTTCAAGGCCGCACATGAAGTGATCGGCAGGCTTCTTACGTGCCAGATCCGCGATGCTCGCGTTGCGATGATTTGGGCCAAATGTGCCATGATCGCTGGCTACCACTCCGATACTGCGCGCGCGATGTGTTTCCTCGCCAAGGCATACCGAATTTTGGCTATCCTCGAGGGGAGTACGGGGGTCATCTATCGACAGATCCTCATATGGTACGAAACACCCATGGTGATGCCAGGGTTTGGAGCTACCACGCGAGGGCTTTCCACCGCTACTGAAGGCCGATCCATGCTCGATGAACGCGACGTCAAGGAGAAGCTGTTCATGACGGCAGCAAAATCGGACGAGTACATTCGCATACACCGATACCACCGCTTGTCTGACGCCATGGCCAAACAGAAAGGCAGTAGGTACCTGCTTTTACCCGAAAGTCCCACCAAGCCGAAGGTGACACAGAAATTGCTTGAACCAGGTGTCTCGAAATCAGCGCACTCCCCAAAGCACAGACATGGGCCGAGTGCGCCGGAGAGGGTTCACCGGAGCGGCAGTGGCACATTCAATCTGAGACGGGATAAGGATGGACACAGCGAAAATACTTCAAAGGGGAAGCTTCAAGTTTCCAAGAGCCATAGTCAAGCATCTACCCAGGAATCGTCGTCAGGCGAAGTCTGCACTGATCCGCACTGGGATATGCTGGATCTTGTACGAGAGCTCATGGCTGATAATCCCGATCTATTCCCGGATTATCATTCCCCTGCTATTTCCGAGGTCTCCAAGAAGAAAAGAAAGAAGAAGAAGAAGAGCAAGAAGGGGAAGGACTCGGCTGAATTGGGGGGGAATACTCAGCAGGAACAGGGTAACCCAATAGTGAAGGAGCTCGAGGCGGAAAAGAAGGTGGTGATGGTTAAAAAAGCCGGCGTCCGCAGTCCTGAGGAGGCTCTAGATTCCAAATAAATTGTTGGACCTGAGAGTGACAGACGATGGCCATTGCTCATCTCTCTTTGGAGTTCAGGTGAAGTTGGACGGACATTGAATGGCCCGATTGGGGTTTTGGAATAAATGCGGAGAGAACGTGACGATGATTATGTCATGAGTTCTCCAATTTATTTCATTTGCATGCTTTTGGCCTCATCTTCTTCACTCTATTCTTCAAGTTCTCTGTTTGACTTCTGTTGATATGTCATTTTTCTGGCTCAGGCTAGCTCAGGATTAGATCAATCAACCATCAAGTTTTTTCCTTAGGAATCTCCTCTTGATTTGCCCGCCACAATCGCAGCTCCTTCATCCTCCGCAGATATTCTCCGCTCCGAATAGAACTTCCCACTCCATGTTCTTCTAGATATTCCTACCATTCACCCCACGCAACAATGGCCCATTCCAAACGTAACACCTCCCTCCCACACTTCACTTCCTACGAGCGCGGCCTTCTCCGCTCGCAATGGGGCACCCAACGCGGCGTCATCGGCCGCGACTCTTTCCTTCCATTCGCTTCTTGTCGCCTGTGTCTACACCCCGCTCGAGCACCCGTCGTCGCCTGCGCAACAAATGGTGATATATTTTGTCGCGAATGCGCCATCAATGACCTCCTCGCGCAGCGACAGGAGATCAAGCGACTCGAACGAGAACGGGAGGAGGCCAAAAAAAGACTCGCAGAGGAAGATGAGCGGACGTTAGAAGAGGCGCGTGAGCGGGAGCTACGCGAGTTTGAGCTCGTCAGTATGGGGTTGGAGGTGGCAAAAAATAAATCTTCCGGTCAAGCACAGAATGACAACCATAAAAAGCGGAAGGCTGAGGAGGCTACGGAGGCATTGGCTGCGTTTAAGGCGAGGGAAATCGAAGTGGACGGCAAGCGGAAGAAGGTGTTTGAGCTGGATGAAAAGGAGATGGCACGGGTTGCTCGGGAGGAGCAGGAGCGACTCAAACAGGAGCTGAAGAAGGAAAAGGTAGGAATCGACCGGTATCCTGTTCGGGAGTACTATACTGACAGACGATAATCGCCAGTCTGAGTCCAGCAAGTCTGCTCTGCCGTCATTCTGGGTTCCTTCGCTCACTCCCAATACCGATCCAAATGAGATTGCGGCCAATAAGACCGTCAAATTGAGTCCTGTTTGCCCTGGTTCGACGGATGAACACCGCCATAGCTATTCGCTCAAGTCGCTGGTCGACGTACATTTCACCGAGGAAAAGGCATCCGACGGCTCAATGGCGCGGACCTGTCCGAGTTGTAAAAAGACACTAACAAATGGGCTTAAGGCGATGTGTAAGTACAATCCTTCACTTTTGAACTTTCGATCAGCGGTGACCAACTGACCATTTACACCCATAGTGACCAAACCTTGTGGCCATGTTATCTGTTCGCCTTGTGTGACCAAATTCATGACGCCGCACGATGCACCAGACCCGCATGCTACTAAAGAAGAACAAGAGCAGACAGCTGCCCTCCATGGGTTAATTCTATGCTACGTTTGCGAGGCCGATATCACCCCTCGTGATTCAACAGAGAATGGCAAGGAATCAGGAAAGAAAAAGAAGAAGGATAAGGAGAGCATTAAGCCTGGCCTAGTAGAGATCAGTTCAGAAGGAACAGGGTTTGCAGGGCGTGGTGGAAACATAGCGACCAAAACGGGTGTTGCATTTCAATGCTGAACTGGCTGCATTCTACTGATTGCATGGAGTATGGTGTAACGGTTGGGGTATACTTTGTGACATAGTGGGCACTGATAGACCATGCCGAACATTGGCAGAATGACGATCTATATGGGAAAAAAAAATACATAGGTACAACGTCCGACGTGCATGCAACCCGTAAACGCCCGGACGATATAAACCAGTTATAAACCCGAAATTATTACATCCAAAATTACACAAATCGGCCCAGGGTGTCTAGTCCCTCAAAGGACAACAGCCACTCTAGCTCCGCTTGGCAGAGTTGTTAAACTCGCGTACGACAACATCGCACTTGATTTCCTGACAGAGACGCTTGCGACGGTTCGTCTCCAACTTGGAAACAAACTCCAGGCCACTCGCGCGTTCGACCACCTCAACCGGCACCTCAAACTCCGTCAGCCTCTTGTCGTTCGGGATCCGAGCATTGGGCAAGACAAAAGCCCCCAAGGCAACCTTTCCAGTAGGAGAAGCGGGGCCCTCCTCGGCGTAGATGACCTTATAAAAGTGCGTCGGCACAGCAACATTAGGCGGGTTGCCAATCACCTCGTACGACACACGCCATTTGCCATCCGCCTCACGTTGAGGGAGATACAGGGGGCCGGTCACGATGCGAACGGAAGGATACTTCTTGGCCAGGTCGCGGCAGAACTCCTCAAAGTGCGCCCAGTAGTCCCGGTTGAATCCCTGGCCCACCTGGGGGCACATGTTTGTCAAGGCAAAAGTAGCGTCCATGGCTTCCTGAGACCATTTTGCGTCGGCCGCAGGCACTTGGTGGCCGCGATCGTAGCCGGAGCGGAAGTAATCGTTCAGTTTGGCGCGGAAGGCAGCGGGGATACTGGTGTCTTCGAAGAAGGTGCTATGTTTGCGGTCTGCGTTCTTCATCGCCAGCGAAGCCGGCGTGATGTGCTCGGCTACCCAGGCGGGGTTGCGCGTGCGACGGTCGTATGCGCCAGCCAGAGGAGCTGAGAGCAGAGTATCGGCGACGGGGCCGGGGAAGCCATATTGGTAGATGCCGGACGGGTCGACGGGTCCGGCGAGGGATTTGGCGGCGAGCGACGGGGCTGCCGGTTGGGTCGGGACAGGGGTGGCTGAGGACACTGGTGCAGATGGAGGTATCTTCTGTTGCTGTTGTTGCTGTTGCTGTTGAGGCCGAGGGGAGGAAGAGGAATAGAGCAGCGCTGTAAGGCCGGCTCCGGTGGCCGCGCTAGCCGCGGCGATTGCGGCGAAAGTCGCTTTGGACATGCCGCCGGGAGGAGGGAAAGAGGGGAGGTAGAGGCGGAAGAGGAAAAAGGATAAAAGGCGGCAAGACGAGGATGGGGTTGAAGATGAATGAAAAGTCCGGGGAAAGAAGAAAACTGCATGAAGAGAGTCAAATTGAAGCTAAAGTGGATGGCCAATCAGAGGGCGGTGATCAGATGATATCCAGGCACGCTGCCTCAGGTACCGCACAAAGAACATACAGGACAAACTGGTCATGGTTGTAAACAACATCGGGATATCATTTATTAGATCTACGAGTATGAGCCAAGCATAAATATCTACCAGAAGACGCTTTCCTCTCTTTCTGTATACTACACCGGGTGGTCTGACGACCAGCGCAGGTGAGCTCTGCAGCTGATCCAAAGCATAAGACTAATATTATATATACATATTCATTCTCTCAGTTGAGGAGATTCAATAGTAGTACGGAGTACAAGGCTGTTGACTTGAGATCGCGTCGATATCAGGGAAAGGGGGGGGGGGACAACAATCGTTCCTGGGGATGTCAAGAGCAGTCTCCTGATCCGCGTAAATAACCGGAAATAGTTTCCTGGGTGCGGAATTCTCTTTTCAACCCGATCGGAAAGTCAGAAACGAACTATCGAAAGCAAAAGACGGGGTAAGTCAATGCTTTATTGCATGAGGAACCAATAACACTGTCAAACGATAGATCGCATTTCTGATGGATCAGAATGTCTACTTGTCCATAAACAGAGTTTCCCACCGCCCCCCGGAGAATTTGTCGACCAGATCTGCATTTCCTAGACGAATGCTCAGCCACATTCCACCGTCCCGTCGGAGGATATCGAGAATGCTCAACTCTTGCGCCAGCTCGCACACCCATCACTATGACGGGTGTAGCCTCACGGCCTTCGGATCTAGACCTGGCTTACCTCTCTGATCAAGACGTCTGCCTGTCAACATATGCATCGGGTTCAGACTATATGACGCCGCCCTTCCCATTTGGTCAACTGCGGACGACCTGGCACACCACACTCTCCTTTTCCTGCACCAGTAGTTCTCCGGCTGCCACCAACTGATTCCAGTGACCGTTTTCACGGACAAAATCCGACCATCTGCAGTTAGCCGCTAATCCCTCCCGGAGAATAGTAGCACAGGTTGACCAACTGGTCTACCTAGTCAGTCCTCCAACGATTTGTCATGTCGCTACGCTACCGAGGCCAGGTTTATAGGACCGAGCCCTCCGAGGTCCCAATTGGTAGATAGCCTCAGCGGTGTACAGGTATTGAGGTCTGCTTTGCTATTTTCGTAGAGTCCAGTAAGTACTAATCATGTGTAGTATTCCAAGTGGAGGGGCAAGCCCTTCGTCATCCGCAGTAAGCGCATCTCTTCTGACATGACTCGAGTTGCCTCTTTCAAGGCAGCAGTATATTTGGTTTCAGCTTGCGCTTTCACGAGGAGTTAGTCAAAGCGAGGAATATTCACATCGCATCCTTCCTCTCCCCTCGATCTTAACAGAAGGCATTAAGACCAGGATGATAGATGGTACGGAGGACCTTCATGGAAAAAAGATCCACTCCCTTCAGCAGGAAAGTCACTTGACTTGCCCTGAAGTCGCATTCCAACAAAACATGCAGGCAACCATTTATCAAATTACTCTCGTCGATCCGCTGGCCGGGAAATCTCACAGGTTCACAGATCCTTCAAAAACCAACCCTCCTCCCCGCCTAAACAAAGGGTGTAGAAACGAGTAGAAAGGGGCACCAAAAAAATAAAATTAAATTAAATAAAATAAAATAAAATTAAATTTATAATAAATAAATAAAACCAAATCAAATCAAACCCCCAATAAACTTATGAATAATACGATTGCATAACCATATAAACAAGGGGAGTTGGACTAGTACCAACTGGTCTGCCTGAGGAATCCTAATGGTTTGCCACCCGGTGGATCCCAAAGCCCTAGCTTGAAAGGTTGGTCCTCACGACCGTACCGAAGACTAAACTCGCTTCCCTGGGTCTCCTGCGCAGTAAAGTTTCTGACTGACATTGGGAATTTGAGATCTGATGGGCGCAAGATATGCGGGACGTGTTACTAAGGAGGACTAGGAGCACAGCACAGACATACATTCCTTGTTGAGATTCCGATCACTCCGTGTCGCAATGTCCACCAAAGCCTCTTCCTCCTCCTCCTTCTCTCCCTCTCCTTACCTCAATCTGTCGCAGCAAGCGTAGTTCCAATCACCCTCCTCCAAAGATCCCGTACTCCATACTCCGTAATCCGTATCGTACCTTGAACGACCTTTGTATGACAAGGAGCCACAGCATTCCGGCCGAAGGTCGGTTCTGGTGATCAGGTGTGGCGCAGGATCCCGCATCCAAGTCTTGGCCGACAGCAAGATAGACTACTGAGATATTGGTTACAATGTTGCAGATCCCCAGAGAGAAGTTTCCCTTGACTTACGCTATTCCCTTAGCCCTAATGACATGGTTCCTCGATCTGCACCTTGACCCGTCCCTCGACTACCACCAGTTCACACGTAGTACTAAAATATAGTACTGTAACCTGTCCCACCGAAAGACTTTTAGATGCTTGTTAAGTGGGCTGACAAATAACGACATGACCAAAACTAAGCTAGGTTGTTCTTCAATTCTTCTTGGGACAGGTTGCGACTGGCTAAACGCCGATACTGGCACTTTCGACTCCGTACTGCCCGACTCCCCCTTTCCCAATAAACTGCTTCTTCTTTACCTTCCAGGTCCTTCTTTCTGCTTTCCTTTTTGAGACGGCCAAATCCCTTCCCCCCCCCCCGTCCCCCGAGCCCGGGTGTGCATCAAAAGGAATCTTAAACGGACAACCAAGAATTATTGGGCATTATGGATAGTGCAGCTTCCGAAGCCCCCCGAAGGAACAAGAAGCAAAGAGCCGTGCTCTCATGTATACCCTGCCATTTTCAAAAAATTAAGGTACCCGAATTCACCCAGCCGTGGATTAGCGAACCCACTCCGTGTGTGGTGCTGATAGTGGGTGGTATAGTGCAATCATGTCAGGCCATGCAGTGCCTGCTGCGTGCGAGGACGACAAGCGAAATGCGAATACACGGTCACTCTAGAAGATAGGTGGTTCATTGAGCAGGCACACCTTTTGCGACGCCTACAGCAGCGGCGTAATTTCCTCGAGCAGCGGATCCTCACCCTTATGTCGGCTTCAGATAAGAAAATTCCTGTTTACCTCACGTCACAACAATCGGATCTTCCCAAGCAACGGGGGAAGCAAGCACGGTCGCGAAATACACATCGACGAAGTCCAAGTTCATCTACATGCCAAGAGGCTGTGCAGCCGAAACAGGAATTCGATGGTATGTGGCGATTTGCTCCTTACACTATCAACTGATTTCAGCCATGCTGATCCGCTCAAAAGAGAAGAAATTCTGTACGGAGCAATCGCAATCCTACGGGCAATCCAATAGTAGTCTCCCTGTACGATCTACCCATACGGAACGTTCCATCCAATCCCTAGTAGAAGTGTTCAGTGTCGATGTGGACGGCAAGCGCACGGTGCCCTTTTGGCTGGAGCAAGCAGTCCAGATGCGCTCCAGCTCCCCCCTCCTGTGTGCGGCCATCGAAGCCGCATCCTTTGTCCTGATGGGCAAAATGTCGTGCGATCCAAAGTCCACCCATTCTGGTCTGGTTCGGTACACATGTGCTTTACGATTAGCAGGGGCGGCGATATGTGACGCTGAGAGACGCTTACGCGACGATGTTTTCGTGGCGATAGCTCTGTTTGGAATGATTGAGGTGTGTTTGTCCGATTAATTCGAATTCATTCCAATTCCGCTAATTGGAACGGCCAGATGTACGAAGGAGGCTCCAAGGACGCTCTGGTAAAGCATCAACAAGGAGGCCTAGATTTGCTATGCCTACGAACCCCGTCGAGCCACTGCAAAGGCGTGGGTCACTCTATCTATGCAGATTTGCGCCTATCATGGGTACATCTCACTGACGACCACGATAAATGAAAATCAACCGAGCTTCTATGAACTAATATTGAAATAGATCCTCTCCGCGATCTCACATGGACGGACGTTCCTGGCGAACGACGACTGGAAAACCGTGCCCTGGACCGAAGCAAGCCCACGAAGCAACCTACACAGCCTCTTGGACATCGCCGCGGATATTCCCGGGCTTTGGAGACAGATGGGATGCACCTCGCCAAGCTCAGACTCTGCTTCTCCCTGTACCTCGCTAGATGAGTTTGAGTACACTGCCGAGGATCAAGCCACGCAGATAGTTCATCGCCTACAAGAGTGGAGGGAATCTCAACCCGTCGATGCCCTTCCCGAACCTACCGAAGCGCTTTTCACCGTCAGGGACGCTTTTCCAGTATTCGAGATGCACGATTCTGCATCGGGAGCTCATAGACCACGGGACCTGGTTTACCCTAATGTTGACGTGTGTGTGGCAACCATCTCATACTGGGCCTTTTGCCTCGCAGTCCCTACCGGAGCGTCACTGGCTTGGCGTTATCAATACGCCTGCAACATATGCCGCAGTATGAGATTCTGCGTGCAAAACTTTCCCTTCGCTTTAGCCTGCTTGGTCAGGTTTGCATTGAAACTTGTCTGTGACGTTTTCTCTGCTGACAGTGTTGAGGGACAGTTTCCTCGGAAATTGTCCCATTATTTCTATCAAAAGTATCAGTTCTCTCTCCTGGACTGAAGGACGGAAGGACGGAAGACGCCCAACCAAAGGTTTCCAAAGGATTTTGAGAGTAATGACGTGAACATGACCAACTGTACAATATTTTTACATCTATGCATTTGAAAGCGAGAATGAATGGAATGATCTTGACCGAACCCGATCCGGGACGTAGCAAACTCTTCCTTCCTTAATTCCACTCTGCCTCCCTGTTTTCCTCCTCTACAGAGAACCTGCTGCTCTACCCTTCCCTCCTGTCACTCTGCTCTGCGTTCACATGTCGGTCCCACCTGGGAGTTTTGCTCATTTCTGACGGATTCTGAAAGTTCAGTTCCTGCATGTATGGCCCCATCGATAAACTAGTCCGAAGAGGATTCCTGGTATAGCTTTCCCCACATAGGAAGGTGCAGAAGACCTCCGGCTCCGTACGGGTCTCAGCAAGGGCACTATGAGACAATAACATGCTCACCGTGCCTGAAGGACATCCACACTGGAGACATTCCCCAACCAGCCACAATAATCTGTCGTCGAGGGCGTGAAACATGGACTGGATTGGGAACTTGATCGCCCCAGCACCGCCACAGTGGAACTTCTCTGATGGGCTGGATCCGTCGGTTATGTAGCCAGAAGAGGACTGTAGATCCGGTGGCAAACTATTGCCGGGCCACAGAAACCGTTGGAAAGCCACAGTTCGATCTTGGGTGGAGATGTCGTCCATCCGTCTCATTCGTTACCATCAATCCCTTGAGTGTTCAGCCCTCAGGGCTGAAAGAAATTCCATGGTTTGTGCTTACTGGGTCGTCTAGATCCATGCACACGATAGATATCTCGAGATGGATGCCTGCCCACTGGTCCCATCACTGGGACACACGCCAATTGGAGTCTATGCACGGTTGCATGTGAAGAAAAAAAAAAAATAAAAAAAGAGAAAAAAATTAATAAAATTAATAAATCAAATCAAGTAAAAACAAACTCTGAACCAAATGCCACATGGTTAGGAGTTAATCGGATCCAACCACTTGGCATGCCATAGTTTATCAATTTATTGTTCTAGTTGCATGCATCCAGCCTTAATTCGATGGTGTCTGCATGATACCCGGGCTTTGACGAACTCCACTCAAGCAAAAGCTACCCAGAATGGCAATGGCATGATGATAGATGCCTAATTGAGTTATCACCCAACATATCTGTATTTCCATTCTACGGTTCGCGGGTTCGTGGGTTCGTGCGTTGCGGAGGGGTGTGGTAGGGTTATATACCATTAGCCCGGAGCGACGTTGTTTTGATCTTGCTTTCGCTTCCTTTGACTTACAGCCCTTGTCTCGCAATGGACCGAGTCCGGTACCTTCTTCTCCCCTAGTTTCGCTTCGTATTATGAGGCTACAGCCGGACAACCCCGTGGCTTTTCTCAGTGCAGTGCAATTGCAAGGCATCATGAACGACGGTACAGACTCCCCCTCCTCTTCGGGGGCTCCTCGAACGGAAAAGAAGAGACGGCCCATCTACGCTTGTCTTCCGTGTCACAAGCGGAGAGTCAAGGCAAGTACTTTGATAGCCCCTCCGCCGTCTTGTTCGCTTCTTGAAGAAGCCGAGGGCTACCTTGTGACATCATTTGAAGAGACAGAACTGACTCGTCTGCTTGTCCAGTGCGATCACCTTAAGCCATGTACACCCTGCTGTCTCCGGGGAACGCCTTCGCAGTGTGAATTTACCGAGGAAGGAAGCAGTGCACATATGCTGCAGTCAGATCTCATCAAGAGTCTCACGGAAGAATGCGCATACTTGGAAAGCCGGTTGGCCGAGCTGGAGTCATTACAGCAGCACTCGCCTGAGAAGGGGTGTAAGTTTCGGGTTTACACCGGCTGGCTATACGAGATCCGTATAAACTGACAACCCTTGTGAAGGAGATGTCGTCTTTCTTTTGTTTCGACTTAGTATCCATGGCATTGGGGGCCGTCTGGCGACTTCTGGAGTCTAGTTTTCGGGTCACAGGGTATACAATGCTGGTGCGATGGGTTTGTTAATGCATCATTACGAGACCGGGCTGGGTATGGTTATGATGGCAGATGCATAACTGTTTTTCCTGAGGAGCGTTTGATATTTCTTTACGTTGAACTCGAGCGTTTTGGAGTTAAGCGAGTAATATTCTATAGTCTATTTGGCTCTCGGCCAATTCCTTTGGATATGGTTCCTACTGCGACGGTTCTGTGGCAGACGCAAAAGCATCCATGATGCCTTATAAATGCGGCCGTCTATTTACACTTTACTATTCCTCCGTCCTTTCTCTCCTCTTTCCCTTCATTGATTTCACCATATCCACGTGGAAGAGCATCAGTCGATGTCTATAAATGCACGCACTAGTGTTCGAGCTTCTCATTCCCACTGCCACCCCTCCGCAATCTATACAGAAGAGCCTATCACTGGAAGAGGCTGTCGCACTATAGTCATTGCGTATATTTCAGTCTTTGTTTATCCCCTAAAGTCTGAATTATACATTAGTATGCACGCATACGCGCGTTTGCATTCTGCCTTTCTTGGTACATGTCTGGGGTAGTGTTTCTCCGTTCTACATCCGAGTCGGAAGTCCCACTACCTTTCTCATAGTTGTCTCTTTGCCAGCCTGGCTGATGATTAAATTGGCTCGAATGTTCACACCGCAGTAGTTCGGTCGACAACTCAATCGAGGATCTTCTGACTCCGTGCATGAACTACAGCAAGGGGCATAAACCATTGTTGGCGATACGAGGAGCCGAAACCCTGGGAACACCACGAAGCAAATAGAGCTCCTCCATCCAAATCAGTCCGAGAAACCAGAGTTTGGGGTCGAAGGGTATTATGACACGTGCTCCATGCTTTGCATGATTGTAATATCGCCTCGATAGCTGATGATCGCTCTGGGATAGATCAAGCGGATACCTCACCGTGCATGAATTTAGCCTCCGGCTTACGTGACCCAAACATCTCCTTAGATACGACATTACCATGTTTGGTCTTCTTCAATCTTCATTTGACACCGGGCAGATATACCTGCCGAGGAATCTGACAGCTCGGTAATGCTACTTCGATGGCCGGGGAAGCATGACATGAGTGAGATAGTTTACTGTGTGGAAGCACTCGCTCGCATATATGGCACGCAGGGCTGGTGTTTCTGGATACCTCGCTCTAGAAATGGCCCTTTACGATGAAGCCGGCGGTTACTCTCTTAAAGACACGAATGGTGTCCCAGTGGCTGTGGCCGCAGATTCCCTGTGTCCGGAGTTGGATAACTGCTTCGCCGAAGCGGACGCCATATATGCATCTAAGGTTTTTGTCGATCTAGAAAAACTGCCTGTTTCTGAGTAACTTACCAGGTGGGTAACTATGCGAGTCATAAGTTGTGATCTCCAGTAACTACTAAGGTCGCTTGTATACGTTGGCGATCCCTGGTTCGTGTCGCTACTAATTTTTTTTTTTTGTTTGGTCTTTGTTCAGGGACCATGTTTGAACATTATATAGAGGAACACTGTTTTCTTTAAAAAAAAAATCGACTGTGTTCAGGTCCAATTAATATTGGTCTGACGACTACTCCATACTCTTCGAAACAATGCTTAGTTCTCTTAGCTCAATACTAGTATCCATCTACATATAAATCGCTAGCTCCGCATGCAGACCACCAATGAGAATAATGCAATAACAAATAGTTCCACGACTAATCACGGCACTTTTGGTGTCTTTCTCCAAAGAGACGGCATTCAACCTGCTCGAGATCCTCTGCATAAACTTCCTTCAGAAACCTCCACTCCACCTTGGCCTGATCAACAGCCCTTCCGGTACACATCATATCGACCGTCAGCTCACCGATCTGGACCACCCAGTCCATGTACTACTACTTGTACACGGGAGCATCCGCGATGTCTACATATCTCGGAACATGGGAAAGCTTGGCTATATTATCTGCAGATATGATAGCATGATTCGAGACTAAATATAGGGCACTTTGCTAAGCTTTAAATGCGGAAGAGGCGAACAGAAAAGAAGGACTGAACCCCGTGACATCACCCGCCCGCAAGGTCCTCGAATCTCTTGCCCTTTTAACCTCTATCCTCCGCTCCGCCCTTCGTCGACCCCCCTCCGATTCTCCACATTGATTCACCACCATGGCTGCCAGTAATGATGTTCGGGGTTGGATCATGAGCGGTGTCTCCGGCGTCGGTGGGTAAATACCTGGACTCGATTTTGATTTTGACTTTGATTTATATTTTTTTTTTAAAAATCGTATTCAACCTTCGGGGAAATTAACGCTGACCCGTTTCTAGCCTGTGTCTTGGGGTCCGCTGTCATATGTGTTGACGTTCTACTCCGCCATTTCTCGAGAGGTAAAGGCTTCCAGATCGTGAATAATAATGCCTTTTTGTCAGCTTCGTTGTGCCTCAGTGCGGGTGTTATGGTACTTTCTTCTCCTTTCCTGTTGTCCTGGTTTTTTTTTTTTTTTTTCTTTTTTTTTTTCAACAGCCGTTGCTAACCTTCACAGCTCTTCACTTCTCTCTATAGCATGCTGCCTACCTCCCAAGAGTACCTCACCCGTGCTGGATGGTCTCCCGCTGCCGCTGCTTACTCCCTGATCGGTCTCTTCTTGGCCGGCGTCATTGTTATTCGTTTCCTATCTGCGCTTCTTCATCGTTACATTCCCTCCCATGTCGTCGGCTGTGCTCATAGTCATGAACCGGATGCAAACTCTGCCGACCCGGAGCGCGGACACGGTCACCACCATGCTCATCACTCAGAAGATCATCATGGTTGGACCGAGCGGACTCCTTTGCTGACGCGGGCGAGCAAATCCAGTCCTGCGGTGCCACACGTGGGATCTGAAGATCCCCACTCTGCTTTTTTTCCGGCCGGAACTTGGCGCGTACGTTTGGGCCGACGTCTAAGTCGTATGGTGGGCATCAAAACGCACTGCGACAAGAACGGTCCCTGTTATGGCTTTTCGCAGAAATGTGGTGCCGAATGCTCCAAGACTCTAACTGCCCCTGAGGTCTCTGTCGCGGATGACACTGGCGTCCACGCCATTCCTGTGTGTGTGGACATTGACCAGGTGGATGTTCCAGAAGAAGACTTGTCTACCTTCAACCACACACATCACAAATCTGGAGACTCATCTTCCTCTACCCCTCGTAACGAACTATCTGAATACCTGCCCCCATCTGCGGGAGATGCGGATGGCACGTCCAAAACGCAAGTACCTGGAAGCCAGCATCACCACCATGTGCCGCAAAATGCTTTCCTGTCTATCGGTCTACAGACCTCGATAGCGATCGCTCTTCACAAATTGCCTGAGGGCTTCATCACTTATGCTACCAACCATGCTAACCCAAAACTTGGTCTGACCGTTTTTCTTGCCCTTTTCATCCACAATATCAGCGAAGGCTTCGCCATGGCATTGCCTCTTTATCTCGCCCTTCAATCACGCGGCAAAGCGATTTTCTGGTCCAGCCTTCTGGGCGGTGTCAGCCAACCGGCCGGTGCAGGCCTCGCGGTCCTTTGGATCTGGGGTACCGGACGAACCGGTAGCCCCGAGGGCGATGCCGACTCGTCCTGGGCCGTGTACGGAGGCATGTTCGCCGCTACGGCAGGGGTCATGACCTCCGTGGCCCTGCAGTTGTTCAGCGAAGGTTTGGGACTGACTCACAACCGGGGAATTTCAATCGGCTTTGCCATCGCGGGAATGGGTATAATGGGCCTCAGCTTTGCCCTGACAGCATAATTGTCGTGATTCACTAGGCGTTTTTTGGTATACCTTGGCGTTTGAGTTTGAGTTACTATACGCACCTCGCATCTCCATAGACAACAAGGGAAGCCAAAGCATAAAGCATCTAGGAGTTCAGTCTTTTTCATGAATGCGCAACGAGTGATGATTCTGATTTCGGGTCTATGAGATATGTCTTACCTATTCACTTAATTCAACTGGTTGCTCAACGAAGACTCAACTCACCCTTGCTGCCATTAGGCGCAACATTCCTTTCACAGGGATATTGTAGAAAGCGGGATATGAAGGGCATATCGGAGCCCCTTTTTAAATCGCAGCCTCGTAAGTATGCTGTTCGGGCTTGGGTTATGCGGCCGAACTGCCTAGTAAATCTATGAGATCACTTTGCTTGTTCAATGGACCATGGGATGAATGTGTCCATTTGATGACAACATGGGTGATTGAGACGAGTTGGTACTGCGCTGTAGAGTACTGAATACACAATGGAACGAGAAGCTGACATGGGCTTCAGGTGACACGGATCCTGTGGTCATGTGCAGGGCAAGTCTCTCATTTGCCCTTCGCAAATTGCTTACTTACTCTTACCGTAAAAGAGAAATTACTGCTAGACTGGATATGATAGTAATAATTCATGGGCTAAAACCTGCTGAGAGGGTAGGTTTGACTAGGTTCTGTATAGTCTGGTTAGATAAATTCAGAACTATATTGAGAAAGACTACAGGCCCCTACTGGGTTCGCCTGTACGTTGGATATCCGTGAATGATCATCAGCCATATTCTAGATGCTAGTCTATATCTACAACACAGAATAAGGTAGGGGGCTCGTTGTCTAGGAAGAATATTGATTTTTGCATTTATCATACATCTATTATACGCATATACAATACCATGTCCAACGCCTCATTTATACAACCATAACCCCTATGACTCCCAAGTAATCGAAACAGTATACAGTAAAAGCAAAGGAAGAAGGGCTAGGCACCCTTGCCTTTCGCGGCGGCTTCTCGTTCCCTTTTTCTCGCCAGGTATCGCTCCTTCGCGCTCGAGACATCTCCCTCGGTCTTGCGGCTGCGGCTGCGCTCTGCGATTTCTTTCTGCCGTGCTGTCTCGGCCGCTTCTTCCTGTTGCGCTCTCTCCTCCAGTTGTGAAGCAATCATCTCTGTTTGACGAGCACGCTGGCCAACCCGAGCGCTCTGTTGCTCCGATTGGAACCGGGACCTTGGCGCAGAAGCGCGCGATCCAGCAGCCGTGGCCGTAGAGGGCTGTTGCTTGGGCTTTGGGGCGGCATTGAGACCAGCAGACAGCAATTGCCGCTTATCGACAACCTGCCCTTCGTCATTGATGGCAATATGGGCACCCCGTGCGTTGAGCTCCTCGGCTTTCTGCGCTTCTGTCTTCTCCTTGAGCTCCTCTGTTTCTTCCGGGGCTTCTCCAGCTTGCACCCGCCGTGCAGCCTCTTCCGTAGCCTTCATAACAGCCTCATGCTGTTGTTCGCCCCGAGATAGTATATCCCTGTAGAAATCAACCATACCAGTACTTCCATTCTGTTTCCGTCGCTCTTCCTCCTGTCTCTCCCGCTCTGCCTCCTCTTCTTCGATCTTCCGCAATTCCTCCTGCTGCTTTTTATACGAAGATGTCACAAACTTCTCCTTATCAGCAAACTCATCGCCCTCAGCCTCCCGCTCCTTAGCCAACATCCGATCCCGCGCGCGAAGCTGATCGCGCTTGCGGATCTCCGCACTCCGCAACAAAGACCCCATATACCGCGGACCCTCGCTTTTATTCTCCGCCGCCGCTTTCTCCTTCCCCGGTTTCGCATGCAAGCTCTCATACACCGCATCGTAAGAATAAATCGACGGATCAAGCTCCTCCGCGTCCTGCGCATGCTTCTTGCTACTATGCATCGCAGACAGGTTCACATATTCCTTGTTCCCCGCTGCGGAACCACCACCACCACCCTTCTTCGTATTCAACCCAAATGAAACCCCACTATCCCCCGTCTGCTTCTCCGTGGTCTCGTCATCATCGTCGTCCGCGAAAATAGAACTCTTGCTCAGCGGCTTCACGTTCGGCTTCCCCGTTGCGCCTCCTCCGAATGGGACTTTGCGCTTCGCGGGAGGTTCCGTCGCTGATGGCTTTGTCGATGAGGCCGAGGTGCTTTTCGTCCCCTCCAGCCCGCCGAGTGTGGAGATCTCGACTTCCCCGCTTCCCGTGTCTTTGCTTTCCGAGTCCGAATCCGAGTCGAAGATGGTTTTCTTGCGCTTTTGCCCAAGGGTACCCGGGGGACCTGGGCGCACGCCTGGTTTTTTTTGTTGCCGAGATTGAGGCCGTAGGATAGCGTTGGGGGCGGCATTTTTGGGACAGGAGGTTTTGTTCTGCGTGCTGGAAGATGGTTCGTGTTCGCGGTTTCTTTTGAGGTTGAACCTAGGTAAGTTCTAGTTGATAGTGGTCACGTGGTGATAATGTTATCTTATCGGTGTGGGTTGGGGCTCATCGTATAGATATTATTTTTTGGAGTAAAGATGGTTTTGGTGCGTGGATTGGATTAATCCAGGCCCTGTTGTATTGAGTATTGAATGAAGGGTTTTGCGCTTGTGGGTGGGTAAGTCATATGGCTACTAGTATGTGCTCTGGAATGTCTACATTTGAGGCAGAAAGACTGCGATCTTAGATCCCAATGCCACGCACAACGGTTTGTTCTGTATGAATAGTGTTGGAAGGAGTGCTGGATTTGTGGAGACTGGTAATCGATAGCTGTGATAGAGCAACAGTATATGGGACTTGAACTAATTCACATTTACTTGTAGGGTAAAATCGCCTGTAAGTGAGCGTACGAATCAAATATGGACCGAAGTAATGTAATCACTCAGCAAGATGCATGTTTGTAGGTAGATACCATCACACGGTCATTTAGTATTGATGTCAAAGCGCGTATTTCTTGCTCCCAGGAGCAAATGCCATCCAGTAGCACCTTGATACGTAACGTCTAGACCCCATTCAGTTAGCATCGTCATCGTATATGGAAAGGGTGGGGGATATTTTTTACATTCCAAATGCCCGATGAATGACCCATAAAGCCGAGCTGCATACATCAATATTGCCCAGTCTTCCACGGTATCACCTAGCCCAATCATGCGATAGTACTGACTGATCTGTTATTCGTAGGTCTCCTATGTGAGCCTGTGTCCTGCAGCTGATCGCTTAGTTCTAAGGTCTCAGCCTGCACCAATTGGCGCTTCGCAGGCTCAGTAGCTTGCCATTTCCTCAGTGGGATGGTCAACAAACTGCTAAGGGTCGTTTGGATCCCCTGATAGATGACCATGGGCAGCTTCATCCTAGACTGAGCGGCTTCGGGAAGCCCCATGAACATGATGGTTGTTATTGGCACACCCATCGCCGGCGTTTTGGTGGGCACCAGGTATGCCACAGCTATCGTGTCCTCGCGGCTGAGCCATAGCCATGAGACCAGAGTGGTGATGGCAATGCACACCAGAAACAATGCTATCAAGATAAAGACAACGAACACCATGTTATCCGATCGAACGCCGGAAAACGCATCTGACTCGAATGCACCGTCATAAGTACTCCAGATGACGACTAACAATGCAAAGGAGCTCAATTTGTTCAGCTTCCACTCTGTGAATACTGTCTTCACCAGGTGTGGAAATACGCTGGCCATGATTTGTCCGGCCAGCTAATCATGGAGAAATTGTTAGCATTAACAATTCACATGCTATCAAAGGGAATGTAGCACATACCAGTGGGACAAAAACCGAAAGCCCCAGCTGCTTAAAGACATATCGATATGTTTTGGTGAATCCTTCGGTCTCCGGTAGAATATCTGTGTACCAGGCGCCAGTGCCGGTGTAGAGCTTTATCAAAGCTGTCGTCAGGAATGGACCAAGAAGGTTCCCAATGGTCGACTGCGCGATGGACAAGGCTCCATTTCCGTTCGCCTTTCTGGTCATTATTGTGTTGAAAGAGATGCTTTATGCCATTGCCTTCGGATTAGCGATTAATACAGAGTAGAAAGAAAACATATCGCCGCGGACTTCTAATTGGGTTGACATACGCGGTAGGAAGGCACCCCAGAATTATGATTCCGATCAATAGTGCAGGATCCATAAAATGCTTGTCGGTTGCACTGGCGCTGACAATGCCATAGCTGATCGATGAGGTCAGGAGATAACATTGCACCTGGGTGAAGATGTGCACTTTCCAGCGGCTCAGATTTTCTACTAGGACCTGAGTAGGAAGTGTACATCCATTGATGAAGAAAATGATGGCAACCGCAAGATAGTTGACCACGGTTTGCTTGAGCTGCTGATGGGATTTTGGCACCTGCACCTGAGAGGCAAAGGCAATCAGGATGCCCATGACAATAAGAAACCATTGGTCAACTACAAGGTCCCAGATTTTAAGTGCCCATCTCCATCGTTGTTTTTTCTTGCTGACGTTGGTTCGGGGTCCGCTCGGCATCGGAGAAGTGTCTCGGTGTCCATAAGATTTTAAGGAGAGCCGTCTGTCTTCCACATCTTTTAACGGGGCACCAACTGGCATTCGAGAATGAGAGGAAAAACTTCAAACTTTCAGCTTATACTTACCACTGGCACTATCTCGGCGCGAGTCACTTGAGACGCCGGCTTCTTGGTGAAATGGAGCAGTCATAGAATAAGCAAATACTCTGCAGTGAGTTATAGAATATTTCTGTGAGATCGCCAAAGGAAGGGCGATGTGGGCCATTATTATACATCCCCCAGTGTATCTGATAGACAGGACAGCATCAAAGCCAGGGAGGACTAGATTGCTGGGTCGCTCAGGGGCAGCATACTTACTGCTACTAGTACTTCCCCTTGATTCCGTATGACTTGTAGTAATGACGTCTCATTCTGACGTTTTTAGGTTTCCCCTGTATGTGGTATGCTCATGTTCGGATTGAGACGGTCGCACATCTTAGGGTAAAGTGTAGCAGATTTACTATAGCTATCAAAATGCTGATACACAGGGCAGTGTAGATAATTTGGGGATTGATATCCATTTCTGCCATAGACGACACGTTTCCAGCAAGGTAGGGCGAATGTACATACGTATACGTACCTAGTACGGAATACGAAGCACCCAATTACCTCTACTTCAGGGACCAGAACCAAAAAAGGGTGGGACTTTATGCAGAATATATGATTATTAGATATTACTGTCAATCCTGCATCTGTACACGTAATCTAGAGAGCAAAATGAAGCACTAGTACTAGTATTGAGAAACCATACCGGAATATGTACAGGACGTACGTAGATAAGGGTTATCTTATCGTTCACGTGACCCGCGTCCCATTATCTATTCTCCGGATGTCATCGTTGTTCCCCTGACCAATACTCCGACAAAGTTGACAATTACAAATGTCATACTACTTCACTATCCTCTCCCCCACAGATGTCCCTTTGTTTAACATCGCCTTCGGCACCTCCAAAAGCGGTGGCGATGGAATTGCGCGCTTCCGATTTCCGGATACCGCACAATACATGAACCAATTCATCATCCATTCAAGTCTGGACATTGTTGAGGAAGCACAGTGGATGAATGGGAACTTGTATGTCTCTTCTTTACGTTTCTTACTTGCTTGATTTGATATAGGCTGCGTACTAAAACATAAGATATGAAGGTATCTAAAACACATCGACACCTACCCCCCCGCCTCAGCCTACATCTCCGCCTTCCTCGCTCCCTCCGGCGCCCGATTTCTCCTCTTACATCAACCCCCTCAACTCCCCTCCACTTCCTCTACCAGCAGCGGATCTTCTTCAATACTAGGAGCAAGTTTCTCGGCCTCTGCCCTTGGAGGTGGTAGTTCCAGTCGCGCATCATCTAGTTCAATCGGGGCGAACCCAACCTCCCCGCAGACCGAGGAGGCCGTGCGTCAATTCATGAACGAGGTTTACGAAAATTATGTCAAGACTGTGATGAGCCCATTTTACAGGCAAGGGATGGAGATTAAGAGTCCCGTGTTCAGGTCGAGGGTGACGGCTGCGGGAAGAAAATGGCTGTAATCTCTCCCTTCCTTTTCTTTTTTGCTATATTTCCCGCCTTCTTAATACCACTTTGCTGCTTATACCTGTTTGTTCTTTGAGCATATTCTACCTGTGTATATTTCCCGGGAGTCAATGATTAGATTCTATTTAAAAATCTCAGCAGAGTGGCCCCCAATCCGATGGTTGTTCGATTCTGCCTTATGTACGCACGCCTGGTGAGAGTAAGCTGCAGAGTTATGGATCTATTCACATGTGATTGGGTTTTGGCGGAACTCCAACACTCATTTCGTGATTATCCAAGGTTATCTACAGGGTCAATTGATGTGTAGTGAGTAGTTCTCGGAGGTAGAACGTAAAGTGTAGGCGTGGACGTTGAGTGAGATCTTGGTTATTCCTCTTAACATTGTATATAATCAGCTGCGCCCCACGCTACACATCCGAGGCCAATGGCTACCGTCCTCCATGGTATTCATCCAAAGTTGACTTGATAGACTGGAATCTATCCATTCTAATACTGGTAGAACCAAGTATCGACTATTTCGCTAAGCAGTTGGATTACCATACTCATGCCAGAAATTGGTCATGTAGGTTACGGTGTCAACTAGTCCGCTAAAGAGCGATTTGCGTATACGTAAAAATAGCTACTACAGGTACGGAAACTGTAGAACCATACTGATTTGCCTAGACTCACATGTCGTCTGATTTTCGAATTTGGTTTGTATTTGAAAACATGAATACTGTCGCTAGGAGAAAGGGTGTTAATTTGTCTACTCCGTAGGGTACCTACCTAAGCTTGGCGTCACGTTGGAATTCTGAGAGGCTTGGGTATTTGCACTACGAAATATATATACTAGTCACAGTGAATTAAGATTTTTATCTCACCAGAGTAATGGGATGTTTATTACGAGTAAATGGATCTATAGTCCTGACAAGGAGCAGATCTAGGTCGAGGTGAACTTAGGGTTAATTGATCCTCAGGGTTTACTTGGGCCTTGTCCGGTCACATGCTACGCTTTCTATACTGGGTTAGTATACCTCCTGAGATATCCATGTCGTAATAGTAAATACCAGTAATACTAGTAATGGAGTAAGCTCTTAGCAAAAACCTTAGACACTGCGATCAGTGCTAGTTGCGTGCTAGTCTGACATGCCCGTGGGTTTATTCTTACTTCACATGGAAACCATGCATGAACCGTGTTCATTCATCGGTTTTTCAACAGTCTAGACCCGTGTTCGAATGGTTCAAGTGAGACTTAATCTCGATCGTGTCGCTAACATGTAGATCAAATAAAAGTACTCGTATCCGCAAGATAAACCCCATGGCTTGAAAAACGGGAAAAGGGAACGCTCAAAAATACATCATAACGCCTAACCAACCAACTGTCAAACTGTCATCTGCGGAGCCAACTTCTTCACGGTGCTATTCTTGAAATTTTCCACAGCGTGCACTATGTCATCCACTTTGGCTACCGCTCCAAAGATTCCACCTTCCATTTTGACCGATTCAATCGTGCTCACATGGAGAGAAGGTTCACCGGCCGCCGTACCGTCTTCTAAGATTACGCAGTCGAACCCTCGATCATTCGCCTCGCGCATAGTGGTAGACACACAGACATCAGTCGTCACTCCTGCAATTACCAGGTTCTTGATGCCTTTATTCCGGAGAAGAAGCTCGAAGTCAGTGTGAGCAAATGCCCCACGACCGGGCTTATCGATGACTGGCTCACCAGGAATCGGATACAGTTCATCGACAGTGTCGTGGCCAACCTCACCCCGGATCAAGAGACGACCTAATGGACCCTGGGACCCAATCCCAAGTCCGGAAGCGTTATTCCGTGACCGGTACGCCTCCCTACTTGAGAGAGTCGAGAGATCGGGTCGGTGACCTAAAAAGATAAGATACTGGAACACACAAATTTGGGGGCTGTACATGACTACTATACCTTCACGTGTATGATAGACTGGAAACCCAGACGCTCGGAACGCATTCAGGAGATGTTGTAGCTTAGGAATAAGTGCATGGGCAGCGGATATATCATAGCCTTGATATTCCATATAACCACCTGGTGAGCAGACTGTGATACGTTTCGTTAGCGTGCGATATCCACAAGAGGATCTAGAGGGATGAGAGTGCATACAATCCTTTTGCATATCAATAATAACTAATGCAGTTGTATATGGTGTTAAAGTCGCGTCATGCGGCCAATCATACGGTGCCGCCGCGACTTGGCCCTTTCGAACCTTGTGATGAGGAACTTGCCGGGGCTTCTCGACAACTGGGCCGTGATTATGTGTCGGGTTTAGAACGGTCAACGTCCAAATGCCAGGAGTTCCAGCTGCGACTAGCATAAATGGACAATCCATCAACCGCGACGTTCGCCGCCGTTTCCTCGTCTCCTCGGTGAGGCCGTTGCGCGGGCGATAGTGTCCGCCCCGATCGCATCTGAGCCATACCTTCGCGGTCCGTCCAGGTTTCTTTTCGGTGGGAGTACTGGAGGACTTGACTACGACATTGTACCCGTGTGCTTTTCCGTGTGCCTGCACTGCTGCAAGAAGAGATGCCCTTCACATGTCACACAGCATAAGTCTACAACTCCACAATCATGCCAATGCGGGGATTTCCGCCGCCAAGCCAAATAGACGAACAACGAGTAGACTCACTTGTCAGGAAATGTTCCTTCGGGGGGTGGAATGAGTTGCATTGACATCTCTGGAATATCTTGAAGATCGCTGGGAGCGTCGAGGTTCAGGTCGGTGGGGTCTGCCATGATAACAGACTGTGTGGATCTGTGTAGGATAGAGCAGGTCTGAAACGAAGTGTCAGCATTGTCGGCAAGGTCTTTAAAGTGACAATGAAGCTTGCAGCCGAGGAAAAGAAAAACGGGGCATCATGAAGCACAACAAAGGCTTGAACTAAATAAGTGCGTGGAAGCAATCCATAGTATATGAAGTGAACCGGGAGCTGAATCGTGCGTGGACATAGCGAACGTTCTCTGGAGACAGCCGGGAGGCGGATCTCCAAGAGGACAATAGATTGTTGGTAAGGGGGGGAAGTTCAACGCAACAGGGGCTGAGAGAGGTAGAACCCGAGCTAGTCCGAGCGATGGGGGATGGGACGAGGGATGAAGAAACTCACCCAAGCACAATCCAAGTAGAAATCGATCTATCTCCAAACAGGCCCCAGACAAGCCAGAGGCATTCGATTGCCCCAGAGAGTCCGTCACTCACAGATCATCATCGGAAGACGCACAGCCGCAGGCGGTGGAATCGAATTGTTATAGTGCTAGTCCCGATTTAGCTTAGTGGTATTGGTTGTTATGATTCTCCCGTATGGACCCGTACTGTTGTCCCGTGGACACGGCCCAGCATCTGCTGCCCACTCATCTGGATAGCATCACCACCTCTACTTCATCCCCCCCAAAACATTGCCTACGACCCTCTACCCTCTTGCCCCTCTGTGAGGGACGCTTACAGGTAAGTCAAGTTACTGAGACTGTTTCAGTCTCAGTGACCCTTTTTTTCCTCTGTTCTCTTTCTTTTGTTTTTTTCTCTCTACTACTTCTACTTCTATTTCCTTTCCCGCCCGAACGTCGTTGTCGCAACCCGACTATCGCGACACCGCCTCGGCCCCTCCACGACTAGTACGACCGGACACCCAGTTGTTGACACTGGCTCCTGTGAATGATCTTGGGTTGGGGTTTGTGAAATATTCAACACCATTCAACGTCTTGGTTGAGTGTGTATTCCTTCAGCAGTGGCATATTCTGACGTGGTTCGCTGGAACGTGCGCCTCCTTCCCCGGCGTCAGCTGCCGGCGCGGATATAATGCCATCGGCCGATGATTCCACCTCCTCTCGACCCAACGGGACTAGCTCGAGCCGGGATGAGCTCGCATACTATAAGAAACAGTATGAACAGCTAGAAGCAGAGTTGGCCGACTTTCAGTCCTCTAGCCGTGAATTGGAGGCGGAGCTGGAGAAGGACATTGAGGCATCTGAAAAGCGGGAGCGTCAGTTGAAAGAGAAGGTGGACAACTTGAGATACGAGGTCGACGAGTGGAAGGTAAGTCGATCTACCACCTCATTCAAGACCCTCTAAAGTGGCCGTTAGAGTGCTAACCCGCCGCTCTATACAGACCAAGTACAAGCAATCCAAATCAGAAGCCAACACCGCTCAGAATACCCTGCAGAAGGAAATAACAACACTACGAGATGCCAATCGGACTCTACAGTTAAAATTACGTGACATCGAAGTAGCGAACGATGACTATGAACGCCAGGCCCGTCATACGACTTCATCCCTGGAGGATTTGGAGTCGAAATACAACATTGCGATTGAGAGAAGCGTATTGCTAGAGGAGGAGATCAAAATTGGAGAACAGGAACGAGAGAATCTACGAATTGAGAATCAGCATCTTCGTACTGAACTATCAGAGCTGAAGGTCGAAACTGAGATTGTTCACGAGAAACTCCGGAATGCGGAATCACACGGTGGCCGACGCAGGAAGCCAGCTCCTTTGCATCGCACCCCATCCACACCACAGACTCCAGAAATATTCGACCGTTCTCCAGGACCATCGACTGTATCATCTCCTATTTTTACTACACCAATGAAGACATCACTAATAGCCGCGGCTGCAACCCCGCCGTCGCCGCCGATATCCGAGTCGTCCACCAGTATGCGCAAGTCCATCAATGCGACTCCTGGGTTTCCTCGACAGAAAGCTTCTGGTTCCGAGGCATATAGCTCTCGATCTTTGCATGGCTTCCCTCGGCAGAAGGCTTCTGGCTCCGAATCATACAATTCTCGATCTTTGCACGGATCCAGGACTCAGAAACTCTCCCACGCACACTCTCGCGCAGCGTCCTCGGCACATAGCAATGGCCGTTCGACTTCATCGGCTACTTCCCGCGCGAGCCTATCCAAGCCCAGCCCCGGTCTCTCCAAGCCTAGCCCCAGTCTCTCCAGGCCCAGCCCGAGTTTTTCCAGATCCAGTTCGAGTCTATCCAAATCTAACAACAATAACAACAACACCCGGTCATCCGGGATGCCCAAGTCGGGATCCTTGTATCAAATTCGCGGTCTGATTGGCAAAATGCAGAAACTGGAAGAAAGGGTTCAATCGGCCAAATCCAAACTCCCGGCACCCTCTGACTCGCCGTCTCGGGTCTCTTCTCGCTCCGGGTCCATAGTTAGTGAGAGTCCTGTTGCTTCCACGATTACTGTTCGCAGGGAACCTCGTAAACGATTGAGTGGTAGCAGCTTCAGTTCCTCAATTCACGGTGACGGTGTCTCATCATATGTCTCAACTAGTCGACCGTCGTTTAACAGTCGGCCGAGCAGCCGCACGAGCTACTCTAGTTCGTTCAGCCACAGCACACACCCTAGTATTGCACCTTCGACTCGGCCTGAAAGTCGTCAGAGCCGGACCAAAACGCCACTGGGACATTACTCGACAAATCCAACCACTGAAAGTCGGCGGCCGCGATCATCGCTTAGCAATCCGGCGGGACAAAATGTACCCATAAACGGCATGTCCCACATTGACGAAGATGAAGATCTCTCCCTGCACATGTCTATGCGGGCAAAGATCAGTGAGGCCCGCGAGACTCGTCTTCCTTCGTTCTCCACCCCCAATGGGCTCAAGAAGCGCACACCAAGCGGAATCCCCTCCATCCCTGCACCTCGAAGCCTTCGCACTAGCACGGGACTTGATCGACGGGAGGGTCGCATGGGGCCGCCCGATTCGAAGACTAAGACCACCACCGATTTGGGCGAAACTTTCTAAGTTGCATGTGAATTTTCCACCACCTCTTCCTTCCATTGCTTACCCTTTGAAACATATTATGGCAACTCCGAAGGGCGTCACGATTTCACGGCTGGTACGCGCGCTTGATACATTTCAGTTTACCATTCAGACTGCAATATCTTTTTTATCTTTCCTTGTCCCTTTTATCATCTTTTTATTTTCTAATCACTACCCTTTTTGCAAGCTCCCACAAGGGGTTTGGGTACAACGAGAGGACTTGTTTTTGGGCCAGTTGTTCATAGATTCGAGGATTCCCCTGGACATTACTGCAGCGATTATACCACGTTTTGGTCATCATAACCTGTACAGTCAGTCTCGGTGAAAGGCGGAGTTTGGCAGTGTATTCGTTTTGATGGCGCTTCGATTAACAGCCGGGGGTTTTCCCTACGGGGAGCCCCATCGGCGTCCAAGCTGTGACTCAGCATTATTTTTTCTTTTGACTGTATATTTCTTCTGTGTTGTTACTGTGTTGCCCTAGGCGTTAGACAATACCCAATTATAGTTTGATGAGATGGTCCTGTAAGCATGGTAGTTTGTCGCAACTTTCACCTAAAATGGGGCTCTAGCTGCACCTTCTCCCCCATCCTCCTTTTGTTATTTTATTAGGGAGTATAGAAGCTCGCAGAAATATGGCTGTGTGGTGAGAAGATAATGACCAACCAGAACACGCTATATACACGCAATAACCCTATACCGGAGTTTAAGTGCTATGACAAGTCATATAGCGTTGGCAGTTGCAACGCGGCGACGGAGTATCCTTGACAGTTGATGTGTTCCATTCTAGTTACCTGACTAGGAGCAGTACCGGAAATGTGCCCCGTTTTATACTGCGCCGTAGCTGCATCACGTGGAGTTCGGAATAAGCCCGTCACCGCCAGGTATCGAGGTACAGTTACACCTAGTCTTTTCTAGAACTTGGCTTGACACACGTTATCGCTATTGGTGAACCCTTCTCTCAAAACCCATGTTCTGGTCCTTGATTCTCAAATTATGTAAAAGCACCGAACATTTCAATAGAAGTGATAGAAGTGTAAGCGATAAGAGGCCCCGAAGACCGAACTGTCGGGCCCCGTCGGTATTCGGAAGACAAGCCCCGGATAATATGTATTGGGCAAATATGAAGAACTAGCGGTAGGGTTTGATGAGGGCGATCATTTCGGTCCCAACGGGACAAAACCCCGAGATTGGTCGGGATTGGGTTCAGACGTCAACACTGTCCAAATAAGGTTAGTTTCTATCCTAGTTCTGAGAAGCCTTGGCCTAGTTCGGATGAGATTTAGTGGTCTAGTCCTACTACGGAGGATATACTCTCAGTATGGTTTTTTACTACTTCACTTGAAAGAGCTCCACGTCAGCAAATATGGTCCCGCGCTGCATGTAGGTTGAATTGTTTTCCTTGTTTTTTAGGGGGCATCCTTTTCGCTCTCCTCTTGCATTTCATTAGTTTATTTTTTATTTTTTTACTTTCCGCTTTAGTCATCTGAATACATGACAAGTCTCGCTCTACGACATTTTCTCCTCCCCCTTGTATTGATCACTAAGGCGTGTCAGAATAAGTATCCATAGGGCAAAATTCCCATGTCGATATAATCACTTTGTTCATCAAGTTAATTTCAGTCTTGTACTCATCATTTGTTTCCCCCTTGGCTGGCCCAAGAGTTTCTTCATGTCATTTTAGCAAATAAATGGGATCGTCGCAATTTATATTGGTACCAAGGCATGGGTTGTCATCCAGAGCACAGATGTAGAGCTATAGGGGTAGACCAATATAGACCAATATACGGAGTACTGGTATTCTAGATCACTACACAGTAGGGCTTGGACTCAGATCTGGTGACCAATGCAACGTCCCGAGTACGTACCAGTGGCATGCAAGTGCCGAGACCCATGTTCTTCGCATTGGATGTTTAGTACGGATTTTTACAGGTTTTCTTGCCTGGCTAATTCATGACCTCGAGATTGGAGATATCTTAATGAATTTGTCTCTCTCTCTCTTCGAGGATCTCTCTCTTTTTTTTTGTTGTAGGATCTTCTTAGGGTTGCTGTCATGAGGCGGGTGATGGTTTTCGGAGAGCGGACTCTTCAAACTATATATCACAGATGCACACTAAGATAAGAGCAAGAGTAATCACGATACATTGATTGGCATCGGGTCTGGAATGGAGTCATAAAACTTGGCTGGTACCTAATCATCGCCAGTTCCGCCGTGGACTTCGGGCAGCTGATTGGATCGCAGAGAATGTTGATGAAGGAGAAAAAGTGGTGGGAAGTAAACGTCATGGGGCCCAACAAGCGCATTGGGAAGAAGTTGGGGTGTCGTTCCCAAGTTGGCGCTGACCCACAGCTCTTTTTTCCCCTACTCAGGTTTCTTGACCTAAACCCCTTCTTGACTAGTGGTTCTCGACACCTAGACCTCTAGATACATTGAGAATAGAAAAGAAAAGAAAAAAAAGAAAAAAAAAATAAATAAATAAGGACAAGATTGAATATAACCCTTCTCTCTCCCCTCCTGTCCTGCTTTCTCCTCATACTCCGGACCTCTTTCACCTTTTTCTTCCTTTTTCAATACCCTACTATATTGGTTGAGGTGGTAATTAGCGGTAAGATCTGGCCTCCCTTCTACACTCGGTACAGAGATACGGAGTACGCAGTACATACCTACGGTACATGTACATGGATACTACCTTTAAGTTACCGTTCCGTACCTGGTTCCCTGCGCGGTTCCCAAACCTGCCACTTGCCGTTTGCGACGTTTCCCGCCCCAGGCCGTCCATCCATCCACTTTCATCCATGCCCTCTTTTTTTTTATTGCCCGTACTTCTCGCTTTTCGCACTCCGGGTTGATTGCTGACATTACTTCCTCACCTCACAGCTAAGGGAACCCTCTCATCTTACTTTTATTACGGCCCCTTCTTCCTTCTGACGACTTCTTTTCTCTGACGCCGTGTGGAGGCTTATCTGCTTCTCTAGAGAGGGTCTTTTCTTACGTTATCATATTCTAATCTCCCCTACTCAGCACGTGTACCACTACGATCCAGGCAATTCTACAGTCCTCTCTCCTCGCTGATTACGTCCTGAGCTCTACTTCGATTATACCTCTACTCTTCTAGACATTTTACCTGGATATCTCGCATGCGAGTTGTATAATCTATAATTCACTGATTTCATCATGGCCCTCACCAACGGAACCTCGACAGCCCAATACAACCTTCCCTCACATTTTATCGGTGGTAACCACCTCGAAGCTGCAGCACCGAGCAGTGTCAAAGACTTTGTGGCCAAGCATGGCGGTCATTCAGTGATTACTTCGGTGAGCACATCCGACGGTGGTCTAGGAAGTGAATCGGTAGGAAGTAGCCGAAACTAATAATATTGTTTTGTACAGGTTTTGATTGCCAACAATGGTATCGCAGCTGTGAAAGAAATCCGTTCGGTCCGGAAATGGGCCTACGAAACATTCGGCAATGAACGTGCGATTCAGTTTACGGTGATGGCAACGCCAGAAGATTTGCGGGCAAATGCAGACTATATCCGTATGGCGGACCAATATGTTGAGGTACGGAATGGTCGAAAGCTAAACTTGCGATGTTTAAGCTGACAGCGGACTTCTTAGGTTCCGGGGGGCACAAATAACAATAACTATGCGAACGTCGAGCTGATCGTTGATGTTGCCGAACGAATGGACGTCCACGCCGTGTGGGCCGGATGGGGTCATGCTTCTGAAAACCCTCGCCTACCTGAGTCGCTCGCTGCTTCTCCCAAGAAGATCCTTTTCATTGGACCACCGTCCTCGGCCATGCGCTCACTGGGTGACAAGATTTCGTCCACAATTGTCGCCCAACACGCTGGTGTTCCTTGCATCCCGTGGTCTGGAACTGGTGTCGACGACGTGAGGGTTGACGACAATGGCATTGTCACTGTTGAAGATGATGTTTACAACCGCGGTTGCACCTTCTCTCCGGAGGAAGGTCTGCAGAAAGCCAAGGAGATTGGTTTCCCTGTGATGATCAAGGCTTCCGAAGGTGGAGGAGGAAAGGGCATTCGTAAGGTTGAAGGTGAAGAAGACTTCGTCAACTTGTATAATGCCGCCGCGAATGAAATCCCCGGATCCCCGATTTTCATCATGAAACTTGCTGGGAATGCCCGCCACTTGGAAGTTCAGCTGCTGGCTGATCAGTATGGCAACAATATCTCCTTGTTTGGCAGAGATTGTTCGGTCCAACGGCGACACCAGAAGATCATTGAAGAGGCCCCCGTAACAATCGCCAAGCCTGCAACATTCCAAGCTATGGAGCGTGCGGCTGTCAGCCTGGGAAAGCTGGTTGGTTATGTGTCGGCTGGTACCGTGGAATATCTGTACTCGCATGCAGATGACAAGTTCTACTTCTTGGAACTGAACCCCCGTCTCCAGGTCGAGCACCCTACAACTGAAATGGTCTCAGGTGTCAACCTGCCAGCTGCTCAACTCCAGATTGCTATGGGTATTCCCCTGCATCGGATCCGCGATATTCGCTTGCTCTATGGTGTGGACCCAAACACATCTTCCGAGATTGACTTCGATTTCTCCAACGAAGAAAGCTACAAGACGCAGCGTCGCCCGCAACCCAAGGGACATACCACTGCTTGCCGTATCACCTCCGAGGATCCAGGCGAGGGCTTCAAGCCTTCCAGTGGTACCATGCACGAACTGAACTTCCGCAGTTCGTCCAATGTTTGGGGTTACTTCTCTGTCGGTACAGCCGGAGGCATTCACAGTTTCTCAGACAGTCAGTTCGGTCACATCTTCGCCTATGGTGAGAATCGTTCCGCTTCACGGAAACACATGGTGATCGCCTTGAAGGAATTGAGCATCCGTGGTGATTTCCGGACGACCGTCGAGTACTTGATTAAGCTACTCGAAACCCCTGCATTCGAGGACAACACAATCACAACCGGATGGCTGGATCAGCTGATCACCAACAAACTCACTGCTGAACGCCCTGATCCCATTGTTGCTGTGTTGTGTGGTGCGGTTACTAAGGCACACCAGGCCAGCGAAGCCGGTGTAGAGGAGTACCGGAAGGGTCTCGAGAAGGGTCAAGTGCCCTCGAAGGACGTCTTGAAGACCGTTTTCCCTGTTGATTTCATTTACGAAGGTCTGCGCTACAAGTTCACCGCCACTAGAGCAAGCTTGGACAGCTACCACCTGTTCATCAACGGATCTAAGTGCTCCGTCGGCGTCCGTGCGCTGGCCGATGGTGGCTTGCTAGTCCTCCTCAATGGTCGCAGCCACAACGTCTACTGGAAGGAGGAAGCGGCCGCAACACGCCTCAGTGTCGACGGCAAGACCTGCCTACTTGAGCAAGAGAACGACCCGACACAGCTCCGCACGCCCTCCCCCGGCAAGCTCGTCAAGTTCACTGTTGAGAATGGTGAACACGTCCGGGCTGGCCAGGCCTTCGCTGAAGTTGAGGTGATGAAGATGTACATGCCTTTGATCGCTCAAGAAGACGGAATTGTCCAGTTGATCAAGCAGCCTGGTGCTACTCTGGAGGCCGGTGATATCCTCGGTATCCTCGCCTTGGATGATCCTTCCCGCGTCAAGCATGCCCAACCTTTCACCGGGCAGTTGCCGGATCTTGGTCCCCCCCAGGTTGTAGGTAACAAGCCTCCCCAGAGGTTCTTCCTGCTCCATAGCATCCTGGAAAACATTCTGCGAGGATTTGATAACCAAGTAATCATGGGTACCACGCTCAAGGAGCTTGTGGAAGTTCTTCGGGACCCTGAGCTCCCCTATGGAGAGTGGAATGCTCAGTCTTCCGCTCTGCACTCTCGTATGCCTCAGAGACTAGACACTCAGCTTCAAAATATTGTCGATCGTGCACGTGCCCGGAAGACAGAATTCCCGGCGAAGCAGCTCCAAAAGACCATTGCTCGATTTATCGAAGAAAACCTCAATCCCGCGGACGCTGAAATCTTGAGAACAACTCTCTTGCCTCTGGAGCAAGTCATCAACAAGTATATCGATGGACTAAAGACCAACGAATTCAATGTCTTCATTGGGCTCTTGGAGCAATACTACGAAGTGGAGAAGTTATTCTCTGGTCGCAACACTCGTGACGAAGATGCTATCCTGAAACTCAGAGACGAGCATAAGGATGATATTCTCAGCGTTGTCCAGACTGTGCTCTCTCATAGTCGCATTGGCGCCAAGAATAACCTGATTCTTGCCATTCTGGCAATGTACCGTCCCAACCAACCTGGCGTCGGCAACGTCAGCAAGCACTTCAAGCCGATTCTCCAGAAACTCACAGAACTTGAATCCCGATCTGCTGCTAAGGTCACTCTGAAGGCACGTGAAGTTCTTATCCAGTGCGCTCTTCCCTCGTTGGAGGAACGCCTCTCGCAAATGGAGCTAATTTTACGTTCCTCGGTTGTTGAGTCGCGCTACGGTGAGACCGGTTGGGACCATCGCGAACCCGATTTCGGCGTGCTGAAGGAGGTGGTCGATTCGAAGTACACTGTTTTCGATGTGCTGCCTCGCTTCTTCGTGCATCAAGATGCCTGGGTTACGCTGGCTGCTCTCGAGGTTTATGTTCGCCGTGCCTACCGTGCTTACACCTTAAAAGGCATTCAGTACCACTCTTCCGGCGAGCCGCCACTGCTTTCGTGGGACTTCACGCTTGATAAGCTCGGACAACCTGAGTTTGGCGGTGTCACGTCGACACACCCGTCGACCCCAAGCACCCCAACAGCGGAGAACAATCCCTTCCGCAGGCTGAACTCCATCAGTGACATGTCCTACCTGGTCAATGATGGAAGCAACGAGCCTGCCAGAAAGGGTGTCCTTCTCCCAGTCCAGTACTTGGAGGATGCTGAGGAATACCTGCCTAGAGCCTTGGAGGTCTTCCCTCGGGCTGGCTCAAAGGCAAAGAAGCCTTCTGATAATGGCCTTCTTGCCACGCTGGAGGGCAAGCGTCGACCGGCTCCTCGAATTGAAAGCGACAGCGAGTTGACTGGTGTTTGCAATATCGCTGTGCGCGATGTTGAAGACCTTGACGACACACAGATTGTCTCTCAGATCAATGAAATTCTGGCTGATGTCAAGGATGAGTTGCTTGCTCGTCGCATCCGCCGTGTTACTTTTATCTGTGGCAAGAATGGCATCTACCCAGGCTACTATACCTTCCGAGGACCTACTTACGAGGAGGATGAGAGCATCCGTCATAGTGAGCCTGCTCTGGCATTCCAGCTGGAACTCGGCCGGTTGTCCAAGTTCAAGATCAAGCCAGTCTTCACGGAAAACCGGAACATTCACGTCTATGAGGCGATTGGTAAGGGCCCGGAGAGTGACAAGGCGTTGGACAAGCGCTACTTTGTGCGTGCGGTGGTGCGTCCGGGCCGCCTTCGTGACGATATCCCTACGGCAGAGTATCTGATCTCCGAGGCTGACCGGTTGATGAACGATATCTTGGACGCTCTTGAGATTATTGGCAACAACAACTCTGATCTGAACCACATCTTCATCAACTTCTCTCCCGTGTTCAACCTGCAGCCGAAGGACGTCGAGGAGGCCTTGGCTGGCTTCTTGGATCGTTTCGGCCGTCGCCTCTGGCGACTTCGCGTTACTGGCGCTGAGATCCGTATCCTGTGTACTGACCCCGCCACTGGAGCCCCATACCCTCTGCGTGTGATCATTACCAACACCTATGGTTTCATTATCCAGGTGGAACTCTACATTGAGAAGAAGTCCGAAAAGGGCGAATGGGTCTTCCACAGCATTGGTGGTACCAACAAGCTCGGATCCATGCATTTGCGCCCTGTCTCCACGCCATACCCCACCAAGGAGTGGCTCCAGCCTAAGCGGTACAAGGCTCATCTGATGGGCACCCAATATGTGTACGATTTCCCAGAGCTCTTCAGGCAAGCCTTCCAGAATAGCTGGACCAAAGCCATCGCTAAGGTGCCATCATTGGCGGAGCAGCGCCCTCCCGTTGGTGAATGCATCGACTACACCGAGCTTGTGCTGGATGACACTGACAATCTGGTGGAAATTTCGAGAGGCCCTGGTACGAACACGCACGGTATGGTGGGTTGGCTCGTGACTGCCCGCACCCCTGAATATCCTCGTGGACGGCGCTTTATCATCGTTGCCAATGATATCACATTCCAAATTGGATCGTTTGGTCCACAAGAGGACAAGTTCTTCCACAAGTGTACCGAGTTGGCAAGAAAGCTTGGCATTCCTCGTATCTACCTTTCTGCCAACTCGGGTGCTCGTATCGGAATGGCTGATGAGTTGATCCCGTACTTCTCGGTCGCTTGGAATGATCCTGAGAGACCTGAGGCTGGGTTCAAGTACCTCTACCTTACTCCCGAGGTTAAGAAGAAGTTCGACGCGAGCCAGAAGAAGGAAGTTATCACTGAGTTGATCAACGATGAAGGTGAAGAGCGGCACAAGATCACCACTATCATCGGTGCCAAGGACGGTCTAGGTGTTGAATGTCTTAAGGGCTCTGGCCTAATTGCAGGTGCCACCTCCAAGGCTTATGAGGACATCTTCACGATTACTCTGGTCACTTGCCGTTCGGTCGGTATCGGTGCCTATCTCGTCCGTCTCGGACAAAGAGCTATCCAGGTTGAGGGCCAGCCAATTATTCTCACGGGTGCTCCGGCCATTAACAAGCTGTTGGGCAGAGAGGTCTACACATCTAACCTCCAACTTGGTGGAACGCAGATTATGTACAGGAACGGAGTTTCGCACATGACTGCTAATGACGACTTCGAAGGTGTGCAGAAGATCGTTGAATGGATGTCCTTCGTTCCTGACAGGAAGGGGTCACCCAATCCGATCCGCCCTTGGTCTGACAACTGGGATCGTGACATCGAGTACCATCCTCCTTCCAAGCAGGCCTATGACCCTCGCTGGCTCATTGCCGGTAAAGAGGATGAGGAGGGCTTCCTTCCTGGCTTGTTTGACGCGGGATCTTTCGAAGAAGCTCTTGGCGGTTGGGCTCGTACTGTTGTTGTTGGTCGAGCGCGACTGGGTGGTATCCCTATGGGTGTCATCGCTGTTGAGACTCGCTCGGTGGAGAACGTTACTCCAGCCGACCCGGCCAACCCAGACTCGATGGAGATGATCAGCACCGAAGCCGGTGGAGTGTGGTACCCTAACTCTGCCTTCAAGACAGCCCAAGCCCTTCGTGACTTCAACAACGGTGAACAACTGCCTGTGATGATCCTGGCCAACTGGAGAGGTTTCTCGGGTGGACAGCGCGACATGTACAATGAGGTTCTGAAGTATGGTTCGTACATCGTTGATGCTTTGGTCAAGTATGAGCAGCCCATCTTCGTCTACATCCCGCCCTTCGGTGAACTTCGTGGCGGTTCTTGGGTCGTCATTGACCCTACAATTAATCCAGACCAGATGGAGATGTACGCTGATGAGGAAGCTCGCGGTGGTGTCCTTGAGCCTGAGGGTATTGTTAACATTAAATACCGCCGTGACAAACAATTGGATACCATGGCTCGCCTGGATGCTACTTATGGTGAGCTCCGACGCTCTCTTGAGGACCCGTCGCTCAGTAAGGAGCAGTTGTCGGAGATCAAGACCAAGATGGCTGCCCGCGAGGAGCAACTCCTGCCCGTCTATTTGCAGATTGCTCTGCAGTTTGCTGATCTTCATGACCGTGCTGGCCGCATGGAGGCCAAGAACACTATTCGCCGGTCGCTCACTTGGAAGAACGCACGTCGATTCTTCTACTGGCGTGTGCGTCGTCGTCTCAGCGAGGAACTTATCCTTAAGCGCATGGTTGCTGCGGCACCATCTCCCGCACCCCGCGACGCCAGCAGTGGTGCCATCCCGGCCGTACCCGCCGGAAACGTCTCTTCTACTGAATCCGCTCGCTCGATTCACCTTAACACCCTGCGCACCTGGACTGGAATTCTTGATGACGAATTGGAGCATGATGACCAACGCGTGGCCTTGTGGTATGAGGAAAACAAGAAGCTCATTCAGACAAAGATTGAATCCCTCAAGACCGAATCCGTTGCTGCAGATGTTGCGCAATTGCTTATCGGCAACAAGGACGGTGGATTGAAGGGTGTACAGCAGGTTCTGAGCATGCTTCCTGTTGAAGAGAAGGAGGCTGTTCTCAAGTACCTTTCGTCATAAATCCTGCATTTAGTATTAAATGGTGTGGATGGTCTCTTGTTTTTCTTTTATGTCATATATAAAGTCATGCACTTAGGCAATGGGCACGAGACAGGGATCGGGGTTCGGCTTTTGGGAGGGTGCATGTTATGTTTCTGGTTTCTGTGATTCTTGATGCATATGACGTGTTTGATGTCGGTTATTAACATTTATCCTTAACTATTTGTTCATTACATTCTAGTCAGAAAAATAAATATCAAAATATTAAAAGCACTTCAAGATATCAGAGTAGCAACTCGGCCCCTAGGTTTGTAACTACATGAGACCACAGCATTTGAATATTTTTTTTAAAAAAAGAAAAAGAAAAGAAAAAACGCTTCTAGATTTAAAATGAGCAGAAGATAGATTATGGATGACTCAAAGCATCAGCTGGGGCATATCCTTATCAACAATGACGGAAATCTTAGCACACAAAAAAATTATTGAATGACTATCCAGTATATTCTGACCCAGTCCTATCTATGTACAACTATGTGTTTCCGGACGTCAATTTCAAGACGATGGAATCATGTTCTGATCACAAAGTAGAATGAGAGAGACAAGTGGAGATTATGAGAAGCCCGAGGAAGTAAATCGCCCAATGTCTGACGAAAGTGAGATTAGAAACCGTGTAACAAATGCGCAAAGGGGTATTATTTAGTTCTTTCCCATCCACTCATGTATAATCATAACCATAAAAAAAAGGCAAGAACAGAATCGCAGAATGCCGAGCCAGACCCAAGAGTCACGAATGATGATATATAGAGTTCGAGATAGCAATTAAGAAATGAAAAAATAAAAAAAAAAAGGAGAGAAGGGGTATAGAAAACAAAAAATTGCGGTATGAAGGTTGATATAAGAGAGTAAGGAAGGAAAAACGAAAAAGACCGAAATTTTATGCGAGCTGCCTCTCCAAGCTGCGGGGTGGAGTCAGGATGGGCGGCATTCCTCGATATGGGGTGGAGACCTCTCGAGCTCGGCTAGGGTGCACCGGGCCCATGCTAGGATCCTCTATACGTAGACGTCCGATATCAACCGGAAGCTGCTCTGGTAGTGGGAGCGGGGCGCGATATCTTGGGTTTTGAGGTTCAAAGTGGGAAGAACCGGGCGCGGGATACGAGAAAGACTCATGTGGATAGCCTGGTAGACTGACATATGTCGCGTCCAGGGTGCGGGCGATGTCCTCTAACATGACTTCCATTGGGGCAATGTATGCCGTGTGGCTTTTCTCCGACCAAGCTAGGACGTGGCCGCATACTCGACCGGTTGACTTTTCGAAGACCCATGCTCCTGAGTCGCCGGGTACTAGAATAAGTTAGAGAAAAAAAATCCAGAGCAACCAGGGATCCTGGGTATGCTTACTTACCACCGAAGTTCCCGTCTACACAGAAACTCGTCGAGAACGTCTGTCGGCCGTGGAGTTTTACTATTGTCATTGCTCGAGATATCTGCCCACTTTGCAAGCCGCTGGTTCGACCGCAACAATGAACTTTCAAGCCGCCAAGATCTTCGAGGCGTGCAATATCGTTCAAATAAATGGTTTCAGTCTGTTGCATAGGACGTTGACTGAACACTATGTTGCGCGCATCAATCCGATCATCATTAATCCTGATCAAGGCCCAATCAATTTCATGCCTAATGCCTTTGCGTGTCCAGCGTCTGACACCAGAAGAAGCATGGACAAATCCAAGAGAGTGAGAGGCTAGATGTTCGTCGTCACGATCTTCAGGACACGGGAAAAAATCTTCGTGAACGTCATCGATCGCTGGCTGGGTGACGAACAACGGTGGCTCGTCGCCTGGATCGATACCAGCTGTGTCACCTACTGAGGCCGAGTCTTCATCCTCATCAATGTCAAATGCGTCCTCATCTGAGGAGAAGCCATCAGAAAGGTTGAAGTCGTCGTAAGTCCCTTCTAGGCTAAGCGAGATGGAATTATCGTCGCCATCCTCGTCTTCCGATATCTCAAGTTCAAGTTCTGACGGATTTTCATCACACCAGCTGTACATGAATTCTGCTTCCTGTGGTGCGGGATCTCGAGGCCAGTTCCCTGCCGACCGGAGAGGAGCACCGGGATCTTCATCCTCGCCGTCCTCCTGATCACTGGGCGACTCCAACATATGATGCACTGTCATACCGTAAGGCATTCCATCCACCAGGATAGCCCCACCATAAGTTACCGGAGGCAAGTGCTCTTCATTCATGAAGGCGCCTATGGAGGCACCGCAGAGAGGACGAGGCTGATATAAAGGGTTTGGGTCCGGACGAACGGACGCAGACACGTCGTTTCTCTCAGGACCAGATTTTGCTGGCCTACGACGTTTCTTCCGAGGGACCTTTGAGCGTTGAATGTCGCCACGAAGAACGATCAAATCCCAATCTTCCCGATCAATAGCGAAGTATTTTTTCAAGGCAGCCCTGACTTTTTTCGCACTAGCACACGTCACGCAGATCGTCGTCCTGGCACTTTCAGGGGCTTCGCCTGTCATCATGAGAGTGACGCTGCACGACTCAGATGAGTCTTTTAAGATCTTTTGTAGGAGTTTTCTCAACCGAGGTAACATCTGAAAGTTCCACTCGTTGAGATGCTCCTGAGGTATTTCAACATTGGCGAGTTTCTTAAACGTTCTCTTCCGCACTTTCCTCTCATCCAAGCCCATCTTTTCTCTTATCAGTTTCATTTCGGCAGTAGGAAGCGTGGCAAATGGTTCGGTATATGGAACGAAGGGCTCAGGAGTGGGGTTATAGTCTCTGACAGGCTCTTTCGTAGCCGCGGGCTCTGATCCTGGAACAAGAGCAAGTGGGAGGCAATCGTCCAACTCCTCAGCCCCGGGCGCCGAGAAAATATCAATCCTGCAGCAAGACCAAACGATCTTGGACATAGTGTAAATGAAGTTCATGGAGAATGAGAAGATACTGTCAGGCTCGGAAAGATCTAACACAGGATAGTGAAATGTTTGAGGAACCCTGAGGTTAAAATCATCGAATGGCTGGGTTGAAAGATGGAAGTTGGGCGCGTCTAGACAGAGCTGTACCACATGAAGGTATGCGCTACCGCACTTGGGACCCAGCTTCTGAAGATAAACATTCTCGATCCTTTGTTTGAACATAGAGTTGTTGTACTTCATCTTCCACAAGCGGCTGATAGGCGTCCATAGACCGATCTCCATCAATACCAGACCAAGCGAGTAAAGGTCATATGCCCAGGAAGCGTCATCTCCCAGAGACCTCTTATCATCCGGATGACGATACATGCTCGATGAAAGAGGCTCAGGAGATGAACTGGTCCCGGAGAATTGAGCGAACGAGGTCAGGTAGGGACGCCGCAAGTTCTCTGTCAGTCCAACTTCATCGGTATTTGAGTTTGTCAACCCAGGGAAGATAAGAACATTGCTGCTGTTGATATTTCCGTGCACAAGGTTCTGGCTCCGTAGTTGTAAAACAGCCATTAAAAGGTCATAAGCCAAGCGAAAACGTGTTTCTAGGTTAGGTACGTGATACTCTTCACCCAACTGGAAGAGCGACAACAAAGGCTTGGGTTTTAGCCCGTTCAATAGATCGGTAGGGTTGCGTAAGAAGGGAAAGTAGTCAACTGGCATCTGATAGATAAAGGCATATCGGGAGTTAGACATATCAACATAGTAGCCGAGAAACTTCAACAAGCCCAGATGGGAAACCCGGGCGTTTTGGACAAGCTGGTCAAGAGTCTGATGCACATGATCCAGCCGTTGAATTCCTGGTGCTGTAGACGCCCCTGAGTTCTCAAGCATTATGGGAGTAAACTCAACCAGAATGGTGACAGTAGAATCTTTCGTGCCCCGCAAAAAAGGTGATGCTGATGTCTTCATGCGCCCGATGGCCCGCGAATTGGTCGAGGCGGCTACAATTTCGTAGGGTGGGGGGCTATTATCGTGGGATGCTCCGGACAGCTGTAGAGCCGAACGATCGATAATGTAGTGGTTCGTAGTTAGGGATATCTTGCTGAATGACTTATCGAGTTGTGGCTTTTCGAGGGTTGTGGCAGCGCGATTGAAAAATGGCGAATATTCAAATGTATCAAGCTGTGTTTTGGGGTGCTTGGAGTCAATAGCGGCACCATGATATGGTTTAGAATCCGGGAAAACAGTATAGATGGTATCCTCTGCTGTTGACCCAGGATATTGTCGTGACCGGGCCTTGGTAGCCGACTGTCCACTAGCGGTCATGTTGCGTCGTGAGCGGGACAGGTCGTAAAGGGTATCAATGCAAGCGGTTAGGTCGGCGAGAAGATGCTTAGACCGATTGATATCTTCGTCAGTCCAGTGCGTCTTAAGTGGCAGACTACTAAGACCATCCTTCGAGGGCGGGTCTGACCGAGCGCCTTTGGGGGGAAGGTCGGAAGTCCCTGCATGCTGAATGCGTTCTGCTTCATTGAGAAGCTCTTGTATAGAAGACATGACACTGGCAACAACATCGCTGTAGCCAGCTTGTGTTAGCGATTCATCGATATCGTTCGGCTGCGCAGCGCTGGCGTCGCTCCAATCTAGACCCCATGCCAGAAGCCTGTCTCTTTGTGTTCGAAAGCTCCGGTGAAGAGCAACTAGCTCCGGATCATCAACCGCTTTTGAAGCTGTCGTTACACTCTCACAAGAGGTCTTGGTGTCTGTATACATCTTGGTAAGGCGTCGCTGGAGGTACGAACCCCCATGACGGAGAACGGACATCTTGGCGCGCAGGCTGTCCGGGACGAATTGTAAGATTCAACAGGGATTCAGAGCATTGCAGATAACACGCCGCCGTTACCAGTGGCAATGCATGATTTCAAAAACTGTTGCTAGGAGTGTTTTGGTCGCGCAGCTTCAACAATTGTTTGTTCAGTAGATATCAAAGTCGAGGGGCAAAGAGCGACAGGAGGAATAAGAATAGATTGAAGGTGGGCAGGAATTCTGTTGCCTAACCAATAGGGAGTGGCGAGTGCAGTAAAGCCTCCATCGCCAAGCCAC